GGGGCTGCAGCACCCCCTGTTTTCACATGGTTGCAAATGCAGCGCAAAATTTGTTCATTTAAATTTATTCAGTTTTAGCATTTAATAATTTATCTGTAATGATCTCTGAAATGTAATCCGCAGTGTTGGCATGTGAACGGCTTCTCTCCGGTGTGAATTTTCATGTGTTTTTTAAGGTTTCCTTTTAGTGTGAAACATTTTCCACATTCATGGCAGGTTAAGTAACTGGGAGGTTTGGTCTTCTGAACTGAATTTGTTTCAGTCGGTGTGGATTTTTTTACAGCCAAGAAATCATGTCTCTCATATTGATCTTTTTCTTCGATTTCTTTCAGTTCTTGATTCTCTTCTTTTATTGCCATCAGGTCTAATGTGAAAAAAAGACAAATAGAAGTTAATGGGAGTTTAATGGCTCAAAGTAACAGAGAGCAAAACCAAGATAAAAGTATTAAAACATCAAAAGTAACATTACGCAACAAACCCCGATTACTATAGACCAATCCTGAATCTGCCATTCAGCTCAAAAATATTAGAAAATAAAAGAGTCCCCTTCACTTTGCAATGGTACTTGTGAACAGTTTCAGTCAGGATTTAAACACCAACATTATTGACGTGAAGGAGATGTACAGGTAAAGCCTGTGTTATACTTTCCGCGTCCGCGAGTCCGCTATGGTATGCGTGACGTAAAAACATCATCGGAGAGTGTGCGCGGAGGCTCCGCACGGACATCCGCGTGCCTCCCATTTTTTGTGACCACGCATACTTGTCCGCAGTAGGCTACTGCGCATGCTGTGTGAAGAAGCCCGTTGCTTCTTGAACCTGTACAATCTGTCGATAAAACAATATAAAGACAGCCAGATGTACAATAACTCTGGCCAATTCTTTGTTCACATGTTTTTTTATTGTTCAAGCCGATCTACTACGCATGTATGGAACACGTCCGTGGAGCGGACCATCAGCGTATGCTTTGGAAGTATGAATAGAAGTAGTCCGCGTACACGTCTGGATTGCTCATGTGAAAAGTATAACACAGGCTTAAGACCCAAGGATCAGATATGTTAAACTAAGACCAGGAGTCAAAGATGCAATTAATTGAAGAAAAACTTAATGAAGAAAAGTCAGCTTCAGCCTACAACACTAGCGAGGAGTTCATAGGCCAAACTGCATACATTCACATTTCTTCAACAATGATACTCTAACAGAGTGCTGCAGAGCTTGAAGGGGTGGGGGGTCAGCCTGTCAGTGCACAAACCATACACTGCATCAAATTGGTCTGCATGGCTGTCATCCCAGAAGGAAGCCTCTTCTAAAGATGATGGAACCATGGATTACTGGAACCATGTCCTGTGGTCTGATGAGACCAAGATAAACTTATTTGGTTCAGATGGTGTCAAGCGTGTGTGGCGGTAACCAGCTGAGGAGTACAAAGACAAGTGTGTCTTGCCTACAGTCAAGCATGGTGGTGGGAGTGTCATGGTCTGGGGCTGCATGAGTTGCCGGCACTGGGGAGCTACAGTTCATTGAGGGAACCATGAATGCCAACATGTACTGTGACATACTGAAGCAGAGCATGATCCCCTCCCTTCGGAGACTGGGCCGCAGGGCAGTATTCCAACATGATAACGACCCCAAACACACCTCCAAGACGACCACTGCCTTGCTAAAGAAGCTGAGAGTAAAGGTGATGGATTGGCCAAGCATGTCTCCAGACCTAAA